ATATGACATTTATGGTATATGCTTTATCAACTGTGTATTTGTAATAAATAATAGATTTACAATATTGCCTTCAATCCATGTGTTAAATCAAATATCACTTTTTCAATATCAAAAAATACTCTGAGTCAAATTTATGGTAAAATCATAACAATACAGTAATAAATAGGTCTTTGACAATTAGTATATAGTGATATTTTTTAAAATATCTGGTCCCATGTAAGCGTTTGACCCAACCAACATTTGCCTCTTGCTTTGGAGCTGTGCTCTCAGCATGGTAGTTGTGGTTATTCTATTAACGGGGGAGAACTCCATGAAAAACTAGAGAATACAAAGTCATAGTTATACTACATGATGATTTTTCCTCAAATGCTCTTGGAAAAGTTTATATGTTTAATGATCTACCAAAAGTCCGTTGACCTTCTGGCACCACAAAATGTTCAGAGATTTCACAATTTCCATCAGAGCAACCACATGATTCTACCACTAGACCACAGTTTTTATAGTTTGGTAGAATTTCCAGGTGAAGCTAGCTTGGGGGTTGCTAGCTAGACAGGAACTTGGGAAAACCTAGTCAGTGATCCGTACAAAATAATAATTGCTGACATTTCCTTTACAATGGACCAGGCACAGAGCTGAGTTTTTCCATTGAGTTTCCACAGAGTTTTACCATTGTTTTATCTCTTTAAATCATTGCAACAGTTCTAGATAAAAGATAGGATTATCGTCCACGTTATACAGAAAAGTTACAAAGCACTTAAGTAACTTTTACAATGTCACACAGCTAGTACCCTATATTCAGCACGAAATCATTTTCAATACTCAGTTCAGGCATATTGGCACAAAGTTGACCACTACCCTGCAGCTGTATCCCTAAGAAGACAAAAATGTAAGAAAATAGTATATAGAGAAAGCAGGACCCAGCATATAATCCTGCAGAAAGCAAAAAGTAGAGAAACTATTAGAGGCACTGGAGAAGATTCACATTGGAGAGAACTCAGAATGCGCCATGTCATGAAACGTAAGGGAAAGATAGAGGTGTTCATCACCTTTAAATGCAAGGGGATGTCATGAAACATTAAAATAAGTAGAGAACCCTGAATTTGGTGACTTTTGGGAAAAGTAATTACAGGCCAGTGCTGGAGGTTGAAAGCCAAAGTCCAAGGGACTATTGAGTAGGTGGCGGTAGCAACTATGGTTTACTTTTCCAAGATACTTGGCAGCAGGAAAGAGGTTATATATAGATGTTTGACAGGGTAGCAGCCTTAAGAGAAATTTTCATTTTAGAATAGAAAAAAAAAAAACAATTTTTGTAAGCTCAGAAAAAGATGCTGTCGACAGGAGAAAAGGCAGAACCAAGAAAGAAATGAGCATATTGATGGAGGGAAATTCCTGTAAGAGGCATGAGAGTAAGAATCCAAGTGAATCCAAGAGAATCCTTGGAAAGAAAAAAGAATACTATAGGATCTTAATGTTGCTGTCATTCAAATTACTTGGGTTCTTTCTCTGTTTGGTTTTTTATAAGTCTAGCACTTTAAAATACTTCCTCTAAGGCCGGGCGCGGTGGCTCACGCCTGTAATCCTAGCTCTCTGGGAGGCCGAGGCGGGCGGATTGCTCAAGGTCAGGAGTTCAAAACCAGCCTGAGCAAGAGCGAGACCCCGTCTCTACTATAAATAGAAAGAAATTAATTGGCCAACTGATATATATATATATATATATAAAAAATTAGCCGGGCATGGTGGCACATGCCTGTAGTCCCAGCTACTCGGGAGGCTGAGGCAGGAGGATCACTGGAGCCCAGGAGATTGAGGTTGCTGTGAGCTAGGCTGACGCCACGGCACTCACTCTAGCCTGGACAACAAAGCGAGACTCTGTCTCAAAAAAAAAAAAAAAAATACTTCCTCTAGATATTCAACTGGTATATGAAAGAAAGACAACTAGAGAGACAAGACCAGAAGGATTAAGCAAAGAAGGATATATTTCTTAGCACCATTTGGTTGCAACTAATAGAAACCTAACACTGGCTGAAGTATAATAATGAGGACTTTATTAATAGAATGCTGGAGTGTCTCATGGCAAAGATTAAGCTGGGGCTCAAGAATGACTTTAAAATATGGTCTGAATCACGGTGGAGAACCTCTGTAAACAGTCTTCTCTCAGTCTGTTTCTGCTTCTTACAGCACTTTACTGCAGTTTAACTTTCTTTGCATCAAGTGCAACAGAATAGAAAAGTGGAGGCTGCCAACAACTTCAAAGCCGACATGCCATTATATGAGAGTGTAAACAGACCACTCATTTGAATGGGAGCATTTTGATTGGCCCAGCTTATCCCAGGTGTCTGCCATTGGACCAATCATCTGTGGCCAGGTGATATGATTACATTTATGAGCATGCTGCCTTACGTTGCCAACTCTGGTTGGGTTTAGTGATAGTTCCCAGAAAAATTTGCAAGGCTGCCTAGGAGGTAAAACAACGGGTTTCTACTAAACAGGACAGACAAGGCAATGTTACAAGATGGAGGACTGGGATAGTCTCACACAAATTTCTCATATTTTCTTGGCTTTCATGTTCTTAAAAGAGAAGCGCCAACTCAGCTTGCTTACACATACCAAGTCATTTTGACAACGCAGTTCACACCTAGGGCATTTCAAGCACATCTCATTTATTCAACAAGCACAGATTGAATACTTACTATGTTCCAGGTGTAGCTTAGTGTTGGTTTCACTGCAAACCTACTGAAATTGAGAATTAAAATACATGGAAAGATCTGGGAGAAAACAGTGAATGCAATTCTTCTCTAGCTACTACTTTAATGCCAGAAAAACAAAATTGTCATACTCTGATGTCATTTGACACTGAAAGATAGGTGACAAATTCAGAGATAATAATTACCAGGCTTTCTCTTCAGCATGTGTTCTGCCTCTATTGCTGTTATTTCAGAAACTGTGGTGAACACGTGAGCACAATGAACAGAGGCTCGCTCCATGCAGTACCGGTGGTAAATCTGCCTATCCCCAGCCTCTTTGTCTATGTTAAACTGTTAAAAACAAACAAACATACATTTACTTACAATGTTCTTCTACACAAGCAAAACAAAATCACACATTTCACAAATTATTCTGTAAGGCTTTGTAAAATTTTATGATCACAAAAAAGTAATGAAAATTTTTATTAAAGCCATTGCCAAAATTCATGACTACTTATGCTTTAAAAGGCATTAAATGGCCAGGTGCGGTGGCTCACGCCTATAATCCTAGCAGTCTTGGAGGCCAGGTGGGCGTATTGTCTGAGCTCAGGAGTTCCAGACCAGCCTGAGCAAGAGTGAGACCCTGTCTCTACTAAAAATAGAAAGAAATCAATTGGCCAACTAAAAATATATAGAAAAAATTAGCCGGGCATGGTGACACATGCCTGTAGTCCCAGCTACTCTGGAGGCTGAGGCAGGAGGATTGCTTGAGCCCAGGAGTTTGACGTTGCTGTGAGCTAGGCTGATGCCATGGCACTCCAGCCCAGGCAACAGAGTGAGACTCTGTCTCAAAAAAATAAAAGGCATTATTTACATTCTTTCTCATTCTAAACAGCTATTTAACCCCCTAAGTAAATGATGTTTATTTACACTTTGCTGTAATCAGGTAGAATTCTTCAATTTTTGGCATTTAAATTATACTTTTGCATATCCCACATTTTATAAATATTGAGCTAATTCTTTTCCCCAAAGACCTTATCATATTTCCCCATAAAAAATGAAACAGAGCTGACATTAAACTTGGCATTGAAAATAAGGATAATTATTATCACCCTTAATTCATTGAAAGGGAACCAGAAAAAGAGAAAAGATAAATGCTTTTCCATGGTTATATAATCCTTTTACTTTATAATTTCAAAGAGTATATAATTATTCTAATTAGATATTGTGTTAGATTGTGTAATCATCTATCATTCTGGGCATCTTAACTTAAAAAAACCAAATCTCCAACAATCACTTAAATAATTGGCAACAGTTGTGGGCTTTTGCCATTTCACTTAGTCACTGAATGTTATGTCTCACATAGCTGTGTATAAAACTAGCAGTGTCTAAGAAAAAACAGTATATAGAGTTTCTGGCATTATATCAGCAGGGTGGTTTTTATAAGAAAGATTATGAGTAGCTCTTCCAAAACTACTACCATATGTCAGGCACTCCTCTAACTGTAATATCACATTTAATCCTCATAAACCACCAAAACATATATTTTGTCTACATCTTATGCAGAGAGAAATTAAACATTGTAGAGGTCAAGAAACTTGTCCAAGATCACATTCCTATTAAATATCTTAGCAGAATCCTTAACTGCTACTTGATGAGTCTGACTCCAAACCTTGTACTCTTATCTGCTTTCACATCATTTAGACTCCAGCTCTATCAAGTCATTCCCAATAATTATAGTAGCATCACATAGAGAAAAAGACCCATTGCATGATTCTAACGAGTAGGACAAGGAAATTACTAGAGCATTCTTTCATGACTGTGATATTTGCAATCATCTCTCTGAAAATGTTTGAATCAGGGCTCTACATGTCATGCTTGGATTAGCAGAGATTTTCTTTAAAGCTCTATATGGCTTGTCTGATGCATTCAACGAAATCTCTCATTTAACCAACATTTGTTGACTAATTATGTGTATCTGTTACTTTACTGAGCTTACAAATTAGTGGGAAAACAGGTAAAAATCAGGCAGAAATGAGTACCTGAATAAGGCATAGGATCAGAGCAGCACTGATTATCTCTGGCTGAGGATAGGGAAAAGTATTTCATACTATATAGCAGGGGTCCTCAAACTTTTTAAACAGGGGGCCACTTCATTGTCCCTCAGACCATTGGAGGGTCGGACTATAGTTTTTAAAAAACTATGAACAAATTCCTATGCACACTGCACATATCTTATTTTGAAGTAAAAAAACAAATGGGCAAAAACACCCGCATGTGGCCCGTGGGCCATAGTTTGAGGACGCCTGCTAAGTGTTCACATTGTCAGTATTACCTCTAGAATGTAAGATTTCCAAGTGCAAGGATCATGATGTAGTCATCTTTGTATCTCCAAATTGACTGGATAAATAAAACAGCATGTGGACTAAGACATGAAAGTGTAATTTGGGGAAAGTCATTTGCAGCTGAAAAATTAATTTTCCTAAAGAGCAAGTATACAAAGTATTATGGCCTGTGCAAAAAAAAATAGCAGGACATCTGATACCAGTGACTGCAGCACTGGGTGTAGAATGTAAGAGACAGAGGCTGGCAGGATGTCATAGGGCCAGATGACCAAAGTCCCTGAAGAGGAGACTGGGAATGTAGCCTTTGTTCTGCCCACAATGGAAAACCACTCTAAAAGGCTTCATTTAGAGGTGTGGTAAAAACATAGCCTACGTTTAACCACTTTGGTGCAGCACTCACCGGCCACGAAACCGTGCCCACAGCCGGCACTCACAGCCCGCAGGATAGTCTGTGCTGTGCATTGATGACCAATCCGTTTTGCTCTTGTGTGATGCGGAAAGCTTGAAAGCACTGCAACCTTGTTTTACTTTACAGGCAGCTTTAGGAAAATAACTATAATAACTCCTACTAAGGACTTGTTAAAAGGTCACGGATTCGTGGTAACTTATTAGCTGAACGTACACACTGCAACTGCAGAGATAAAAGCTATAAAAGTAAAAGCTCTTGGCTGTCAACTAAAGTCGACGCTGGGCTGTGCGCGTTCACCTGTGGCTGTGGACTATAGTCGACGCTCGATGCTCATACCAAAGTGATTGAAAAAAATAACTCTGGAGAGAAGTGCAAAATATTTTCCATGTCATTGAGTTTTTGTGAATTTCAAATGACTTAACACATGTCAAATGTTTAGAAATGTGCCTGGCACGTGGAAAGTGCTCAGTAACTTTAGCTGCTATTATTTTGTTGTTGTTGTTTAGAATAATATTTCACAGATGGGATAGCATTTGACATTTGGACATTTAGAGTTGGGAAGATAGGTTTTCTAAGTGAGTAGACTGGAGTATATAAAAATACGGGGGGGAGGAAGGCAGGAGCCTGGCGAGCCCAGGAGAGGTCTGGGTGAGGCCAGGTACATGTGCCTGCTTCTGCCTTTCCCTGGTTCCCTGGGCTTCCTTATCTGTCAGGCCTTGTAGTTTGTATGGCCATATTTGTGGCCTTACAGAAACCCTGTTTCACATGTTGTCTGCCTTTCCACGCACTTAAGATCGTATGTTAAAATACCTGTCTGTTAATTCCATTGTTTAGGACATATCTGGACCTGATTCTTTTGATGATGGGTCTTACTTTCTTGCATTGTCATGTATCTCATAACTGTTTATAGAATTCTGAGTAAAAGAGCAAAGAATGAGGTAAAGTATATGTTAACCAGTAAAACACAGTCTCGCAACAGAGAAGGGTAACCCTATAATTGAACTTGACAAGCTCAAAACGTGGTCAGAGGCCGGGCGCGGTGGCTCACGCCTGTAATCCCAGCACTCTGGGAGGCCGAGGCGGTGGGTTGCTCGAGGTCAGGAGTTCGAAACCAGCCTAGCAAGAGTGAGACCCCGTCTCTATGATAATAGAAGAATTAATTGGCCAACTATATATATATGAAAATGAGCCGGCATGTGGCACATGCC